GATTTTATTCGACTAAAAGGAGTTGCGTATAAATGATAGGTTAGATGTTAATGTTGCCACAAAAAGGTATTACCGAGACATATCCTGTTATCTGGACCAATAGGATCACTGCACGGGTTTACGCCAACCAATTTTGCCAGGGCATCTTCAATCTGCCGAGTCCCTTACTAGAGATAGCATAGGGCACCTTAGTAGACTCTGTTGGGTAGACTAGGCATTGAAGGAAAACCATTATGAGAAGTAGGCTTAGATTTTCCAGAGTGACTCCTATCACTCATTCCCACAGTAGCTTGTCGTGTGAGAAAGGCAAAGTCCTATCAATTAAATCTCGTATTTGTATTTTATTTTGCCTTGACATTTCCATTTGATTGTACTAAACACAATCCACTTTGCCACGACATATTCATTTGCTACCACACTATCATCATTCCATTTCCACACCAGTCATTCCATTTTGCTACATCATTATCATTTGTATATACCATCACTAACTTTACTTAGGTGATAGAGTAAAGTGCCTTGACAAACTTATTTGATTTCCTCCAATCCCTGTGGAGACGATATTCACTTATCGCTGTATTACTTGTTCGATTGTGTATACTTGCACATATATCTGCACCCATTTATAGTACTCATACCGAGCGGACACCTATAAACGAACATATTGTTCATGTTCGTTCGTTTAAATTTAACCGAACAAACGAACAAACACAAACAACTAAACGAACAAAATTTATTGTTTGTGTTCTTTCATTAAGGAATGCAGCTTGTTCGTGTTCATTTTTTAAAATGAAGAACGAACACAAACAAACAAACAAACATAAAATTAATTGGGTTTATATTTAAGAAGAGTGTTTTTCTTTTCAAATAATTTTATGGATTATATTTTCTTTAATTGATTTGGGTATTTTTGGTTTGGGTATTTTTGGTTGGGTTTAAAATTAATTTGATTTTAAAATATTAATGAGTTTTAAGTTAAAATTTATTAGGTCTTAATATTTTAAACGGGTTTGAAGATTGGATTGAATATAAACGAACGAACATAAGCGAACATAAATAAACGAACAAAACTAAATGAATGGATTACAGAACGTTCACTAATGTAAATGAAAGAACGAGCCCTTTGTTTGTGTCTGTTCATTTAATTATACGAACATAAAATCTGGTTCATGTTCGTTCGTTTAGTAAATAAATGAATATAAATGAACTTTTCGTTGAACGGTTCGCTAAACATTCGGTTCGTTTACGGGTTTACTTGTATTACACTTAAAATTTATATTTTTCGAAGATCACAACTAAATAAAAATTCAAGGATTTCAACCTATGTACGTATACAAATATAATATTTTATTTTATTCTTGATACTTTGACATGATAGATCTCGGATTTTGATTTCATATTTATTATGATTTAGTTATTTTAACGCTACTAAAGTTTATGGCTTTGTAAACGGGAAGTCAAATGAAAATGGTTTAACCTAGAACATGCAATTTAAGTCGGCAAGGTTTGTTTGAGAAAATTCGAATAGATCCATTTTCAGTTGAACAGAAATACAACAATTCTACATCAAACATAATCCCATCGGACTTGAAACAATGGTATTATTGACTATAAAATTACAGACATAAAGAAAAAGACTTCCAAAAATACAACATAAAAGAAAACTTCTTGGTGAGTAATTTGATGTTTCTCAAGCTCATTACCAACTTCCCTTTAAGAAGATTTGATGTTCTAAACGCATCAACTTCATGGAGGATGGCGGCTTCTCAAATAAAGCCGGTAAGTACCATCGATTTCGTATGTGCAAGAACAATGAACCTGCAAGTTATAAATGTCAATGTAAACATGTTAAAATTTATGTCTTTTAAATCGATATGTGAAAATTCGGTTCCTGGCATCCTGCCTTGATTTTCTTGCTGCTCCTTTACAGGTGATCGAGTTCCTGCCTTGATTTTCTTGATTTGCAATTTTTAAACTCTAACGTTTCATTTTGGATTAAAATAATTCCAATTTGTATGAAAGTTGTTAGTTGACTAACCGTCAAAATATTTTACTGATTAAATGAATCTACATAAATTAAAATATTGATGAGGTACGTCTAAATGAGAGTCGGGTGAATTGCTAAATGCTTGAGAAATGATCTCCCTTAGCACTATGGCACTCAATTTTAGGAGTATATCAATTTTACAACTGAACTTTTAAATAGTTTATTTTTTTAGCACAACACTTTTTGCCCTCCGCCGACAGCCAATCCATGCTTGTCACCGATTATATTTTATAGCAAGATCGATATCAAAACGTTTTCATTTCACTCATCTTTCTTCTCCTAGGATTGATTTTCCACAAAACCAACTCAAAATCGAAGAAAACTATTTAAAAGATCGATGTATTAATACTACGATCTCTTTCAATGACCATCCGATAAAACTACTTTTGAGGTATGTTGTTCATCTTCTTGAAACAATGCTTCCCATCATTCAGATTTTCGAACAAACACCCAAAATCTTGTAAATCTAAGAAATCTCCAAACATCTAAAAAAAATTAGTTTTTTGTTTAATTTTGTCAATTTCGAGTGAGTTTTATGGAAAACTAATCCCATGAGAAGAATGATGAATTAAATGTGAACGTTTTGGTACCGGTTTTACCACAAAAGACAATGGGTGACAAGTAGTGTTTGGCTACCAACAATGACTGAAAAGTGTAGTGCCAAAAAGAAAAATATTTGAAAGTTTAGTGAAAAATGGATACACCCTAAAGCTCAATGTCTAAAACGATTTTGTTTAAGGCATTAGAATAGCTGCACCAAAACGACATCATTTTAGTGTGACAGACCACGTTAGCAACGTTTACCCACATCTTCATCCTGTTAGTGACTTAATGACTAAGTGACATAATTAAATGCAAAACTAAAGTTCAATGTTATACTTGAGAAAATTGTAAGTTTAATGATATAAACTAGTCAACGAGCAAAGTTTTGTGATATATGATATAGTTTATTCTAAAAATAAAGAAAGAGAGAAAAAATAGATGTAAGATTAAACTAATTTCATTTGATGAAAATAATCATTCCTTTAATCACTAAAATTACTTACTATTTTAGCAAAGGAAATTTACGTCAACAATTGTATGAAAAATAAAATAAACAAATCAGAAATAAAAGTGTCATTTGGTATTAACAATATATTGTATAGTAAGTGTGAATGCTGCTACGATCCATTATCTCTCTTTTCTTTTCTTTTTATAATAGTCATGGCTCCAATGATTTAAGAAAAATATTAGAGAAGACTTAGGGAAGGGTCTTTCTTTATAAAAGTTGTCAATATCTCTTTTTTCCACTGTAATTATTATAATGCAAACATTATTTGTATAAATACTTTTTAAATCTCTTTACTTTTCACGAGCGATTAAGTAAACAAGGACAACCAAGAATGGTGTTAATTATTCATATTAATAATGACATATTTTGAACTAAAATTGATTGATTAAGTAAACAAGGACAACTAAGTATGGTGTTAATTATTCATATTAATACATGACATAATTTGAACAAAAATGGATTGATTTTTGTTGTTGTTGCAAATAACAGTGGATAGCTTAGCAGTTTATTGAATTTTAATTTCTTTTATTTTAGCAAACGACTCAAAACAACTAAAAAAATACTTTTCATAAAAAATATTTAAAAAGAGACTTAAAATAATATGAACATAATTTATTTTATACTCTTTTATAAAATATTATATGATAAATAATTTAATAATTTGATAATCATTTTTTTATAAAAGAGACGTATAAAATAATATAACATAATATATTTCATGTTCTATCTGAATATGAATTTTGAGTAAATAAAAAAAAATCTAAATACACATTATATAATATGATATGTGTAGCTGTCCAATACATTTTTATTATATTTTTTTTATAGAATTGTCATGACCCAAAAGATTAAAATAAATATGTAAATAGACTTGACTTTAGTAGATTGAATATCGTTTTGATAGAATAAATTAAGAGAGAGAAAATCGTGAAAACTTGTTATCATCTCTTTTCATAATTTTATGATTTAAAATTTAGGGTTTAGTTTCACTCTAATAACAAAATAAAAAAATTATCAACACATTACAAATGTTTCGCCCGTACAAAAATTGATACTGCGAGAAATAGAATCGATAAGTTTATTAAGTAATCTCAATGGTAAAAAGAATCATTTTTTAGAGATTTATTTTATTAATTTAGGGTACTTACAAGTGGTAGTAATATGTTTTAAAAATTTGAAATTCAAATAATTGTATTTACAAAATATATATGAATTATCAATAATTAAAAAAGATGTATTCAAAACTTGAAAATAAAAGAGGCTGAAGGTGCTCAAATGATTTATCTTCCTAATCATTACAAGTATTTCATTCTAAAATTACAATTTTGTTATTGATCCAATATGATTTTTTAATAATTACGATTTTTTTTAATTTTTCAATTCTAAATCTTGCAATCTAATTTTCTGATCATCGAAGATTGTTAGAATTTAATATTGTTACAAAACAAAAACATTAGCATTGACTAACGAATAATAATCAATAATAAAGGGATTAAAACTATTTATTGTGTTGTGATAAAAGTCACAATCTTAGAAGTAATTTCATCCGAACTGATGTAATTCCGAAGGTGGATATCACCTTAGAAGTAATTTACATGATCAATTGAAAAGCAGAGCATGGAGTAGAACCATGTTGAAAATAAGCAATCCGCATGACTAGCATTCCAAGCTTCTTAGTCCTGTCCACATCATATTTGTTACATCATAAGAAAGCCTTGTCAGTGTTGCTGCAAAGAGAATGCAATAATAACGGCGAAATGATTGTTTTTGGATTATTTTGAACTCGGGTAGTAAAGAATTGGGTGATATTGATTACCTTCCGGAATAAATTTATTTGGTATCAAGTGGAATGGAACAGCTGTTGAAGAATGTATGTGAACTCATGCTGACAAAAAGGGACATTCATTATCAGACAACTGCAATTCTGAGATTCCATATATGATATAAAAGCATAAAGCAATTACGTAATTACCACCTCTTTTCCGAATATATATTCTTGAAATACTCCAATGCCCTACTGTAGGTCTTGCACAAGATCCTGAAGATAGAAAACAAGTAAGCAATATTCAGATGTTGAGAATAGAAAACACGATATATTGTTGTGAAAGTGAATAAATGGAAAGGGTAGGAAGCGCCCACCCCATTCACCAAAATGCGTGGGATGTGAGCAATCTTATGCCAATCCTCACCAATGTCCTTCTGGCATCTTTCCCCCAAATGGGGACTATCTTCTATACATAAGTATTCCAAATTTGTGAGCAAAGAAAGCCAGCTCGGAATCTTGTCATTGCCCCTCCATCCTATCAAACGGAGACGCTTCAGATTAGGATGGGGCTGGAGGTCTTCAAGTGACTTCTCTTCATCATCTGTAGTGTCGCCCCATTCTAAACCCAATGATTCCAAATGTTTCTTCTCTTTTAAATTAGCAGCCCTGAACTCCTCTTTTGCATTTTTCACCAATCCCAAATTTGATATCCATAGCATTCCCCTCAAATTGTTAAGCCCACCCAATTCCCTTAGATCTGCAGCAGCAGCAGCAGCAGCACGGGAACCACGTTTATCCACCACAAACAGGCTTAACTTCTGAAGCGAAGTCAGCTTCCCTATTCCACGTGGCATACGAGTTAAGCGATAACAACCAAGACATGAAAGATGGGTAAGATTCACCAATTTTTCAATCTTCTCTGGCAATTCTTTAAGCTGCAAACAATTGTAAAGTTTCAGCACTTGCAAATTTAGTAAATTGCAAATACTCTTCGGGAGGATCTGAAGATCTGTATTCCAAGAGAGGTCAAGGTACCTCAGATGTTTCAACTTATGAACGGAGCGTGGAACTATATCAAGATTTAAATGATCCAATTCTAACACACGCAAACACCTACAGTTTGAAATTATTAAATTCCAAATCGTCTCACTCCTATTTCTATTTTTCTGACAAAGTTCGTAACTTCCTTCCCTTGAAAGAAGGAAATATTTGAAAATCAATTGTTATATGACGACATATTTCATCAACCTCACTTGTATTGGAATTTGAGTCTAAAATTCTACTCTCTCTCCCTGCTACTGATTCAGCAAGATCATGCATTAAATCATGCATTTTACATGTCATTCCCCAGTCTTCATAATCTTCTATCTCTTGAAAGAAACTTCTTTCCGCTAAGTCTTTAAAATAATCCAACCCAATCTCTTCGAGTGATTGATTCGGCTCTGATTGCTTTACAAAACCTTGTGCAATCCAAAGTTGAACAAGTGTTTGTACTTGGATTGTATGATCTTTTGGGTACAGTCTGCAATAAGCAAAGCAATGCTTCAAATGGGCTGGAAGATGGTCATAACTCAGTTTGAGTGTAGGCGAAATTTCACCATCTTTTTGAGATATTCTAGCAAATTCATTATCTTTGAAAGAACGCCACTCTCTTTCAGTTTCTTTAATGGATAACGTACTAGCTATAGTCCTTATGACTAAGGGAACCCCACCGCACCTTTCCAAAATCTGCGTTCCTGTATCCAAAAAGACTGGATTTGTTGAGTCCGCATCTCTTTGCTCAAATGCTATTTGTTTGAACAAAGACCAAGCGTCATCATCAGACAAGCCTTTCAAAACATAGGGTTGACATTTACTAGTAACCTTTGCTACTCTATGAGAGCGAGTAGTTACTATTATTCTACTTCCTCTAGTCCCACCCATCAGTAACTTCTTTAAGCTAAACCATTGTTCTCCCTCCTCGTTCCAAATATCATCCAAAACAAGCAAGTATTTTTTCCCATCAATTTTATCTCGAAGCTGTGTTTGCAATTGATCCATCTCGAGATTTTGATTGGGTGCTTGATGAGTCACTGATTTGATAATGTTTGCCACTATTGTTTTCACATCAAAAACATCGGAAACACAAACCCACATCCTCAACTCAAAATGATCTTTAACCCTTTCATGATTATAGATAAGCTGCGCCAACGCAGTCTTTCCCAAGCCTCCAATCCCCACGATTGGAACCATGATAACATTCTCTTCACTTTGAAACTCATTGTCTTGCAAGAGTTCTAGAAGAGCTGCTTTATCATCTTCTCTCCCTATTATCTCATCTTTACCCACAAAAGAGTGTGTTTGCTGCCTCCTTTTGGCCATGAAAAGGGTTTCAACCGAAAGGTCACGCTCTACCAACTTTAACTCACTGGCCTGACCTTGAATGGAAGTAAATCTGGCCTTAATGGCCTTGATTTTACGACCCATTTTGAGGCCATAAGCAAACTGGTTTGATCTTGAGAAGAAATCACGTACCTCTTTCGTCAGCTTGTTCCCACTCATCAGATCCTTCCGCAAGGCTTCAGTATGGACATCATCCACCAAGTCTTCCGCATCATACAGTGCATCTTTCAGCTCATGAAGCCAAACTTTGACAAGATTGCTGGTCACCGATCGCTCCTCCGCGTCAAGCAGCACAGCTTGGATTCTGGTGATGGTGCGTTTGAGATTGTCGAGGTCATCTTTGAAATTCCACCACAGTCCGATTTGAGAGAGAGCACTGGAGCCCAATTTGGTAATGAGCCGTGCGGCGATGTCGAAAGCAATTGCTTCGGCCATTGGAGGTTGAAACAGAAAGAAGGCAAAGGTGTTAAGTTGTTTGCAAGAGGAGATGAAATGAAATGCAGGTGTTGATAATACATTAGTATATTATAGATTTTTGGTTGGACTGCATGACCCAGCAGCTAGGGCACGTGTGCTGTTTCTTTCTCCCACTATTAAATTGTTACAGCAAAGTAGGAAGACGACATAGAAGCTTTCAATGGTGTAAGCCAAGTCCTCCTTGTAGTCTCCATGATTAAAGCAAATCAAAGCAAAGCAGGGTCCTTCGGCCTCAAATGTCAAAAGTTAGGCTTTTTTTATTTAAAAGATCATGACCATTCCAAGAAATTCCCTATCATTTTCCATTGAAAAGTTCTTTTGTTCTGAAATCAACCCGTATTCTTTCAAAATAATATGACATATTAAATTAGGGTTCGGATAAAGATCATATCAACAATTTCCAATGGTTGAGTCTAATGGCTATGGCATATAACATATGTTTCGAATAAATGTGCATGTCTTCTTTTGGCTCTTCCATTGAACATTACTTATTAGATGGCTGCAATTGTGAGGATTACTATGATTTAAAGTTATCAAAACCAGTACATGGAAGATGGGTAAGATACACTAATTTTTCAATTTTTTTTGTCATTCTTCAAGAAGATAACAATAGTCAAGTTTCAACACTTTGCAAATTTTGTAACTTTCAAATACTCTTTGGTAGGATCTCAAGATCTTCATTCCCAGAAAGATCAAGATATTTCAAATTTATGAATGGAGCGTGAAACAAGATTTACATGATCCAATCCCAACACACACAAACGTGTACATCTAGATTTTATTAAATTTCATGTTGCCTCTGTTTTGATTTTTATGATTAGCAAATTATAACAACGATAGTGTATTAATTTATGATTGTCGGAATTAAATTAAATTGATGAAAAATGTTAAAATTTAATTATTTAATTAGTTGTATTAACTAAATTATCTCAGTAGTTAAAGGATGGTTATTACTCTAGAGGTATCATATTTGAATACTAGAGACTGCAAAGGTGTTTGAGCTTTCATTGTCAACTGATTGTGAATCTTTAAAAAAAATATTATCTTGTAATTATCTTAAATCAACAAGAGATTATTTAATTGATTAAAATAATAAGATGGAACTTAAAATTAATGATCCGATCGATTTAACGATTCATTTTCACGTGTTATACAAAAAAAAAAGTTAGGCATATAATAAACAAAAGCTTAAAGAACTCAACGCCATCCGACCAGTATTCATCACGGGCACGAAAACCCAATCACATACGCCATCTCATCGAAGAGATCAACTTATGTAGCATCCTACGTGTACGTGTCACTCTCCCTGTTCCAAAATTATATAGAAACACACACCAGCTTTAACCGTTTAAAATTCTCAGCTCTTTTCTGCAATTTCCCGGAAAGAAGATTTTGTCGTTTGATAACGGAACCCTAAGCTGAATTTTTCGCTCCATGAATAACGATAGGCAAGCGCCGGCGGTGTCGGTGACGGGAGTGGCGTCGTCGAGTTCGAGGGCTTTCTCGTTCATTTCGAGAGGGTGGAGAGAGGTACGCGACTCGGCCGACTCGGATTTGCAACTGATGAAAGATCGTGCGAACTCGTTCAAGATTATCGCGGCGAGTTTCGACAGAGAAATTGAGAACTTAATTAACTCAGCGACCCCGCCCTTATGACATCTCATCCCCATCTCCGAATTCGTTCTAACTTTAACGTTTGCAAAGTGGTTAGGCAATGCATCTCGTCCGAAAGCGATGTTAAGTTGGGAAAATCATTGAGATGGAGATCTCTCAGATTTGTTAGATGTTGAAGCAACTTTGGAAGATTCCGACAAGTTGGAATATTTTGTAGATACAGAACACGTAGGCATGTATAGCCTTGGAATGTTTGGATGCCATCTGCACATAACTCCAGCTCCTAGCAGTTTGTTATTTTAAGCGTTTCAAGGGAGGTGAGATGTTGGAAACAGTAAAGAGTTACCTCAGTCCACTGCAATTCGCAATTTCCAGTGTTTTCAACTGAACATGATGTTGAAGCCAAAGGAGAAGAGACGCCAGCTGTGGAATGTTGGCAATACTCAAAGAAGAGAGATTCTCCGAACGGCACTCATCTAGCGTGCTTTGGTCCAGTTCCTTAACATTCTTCAAACGTAAGCATTTCAATTTGGAGAGAGGAAGAGAATAGGTTGATGGAGTCATACTAGTGATGCTCATCTGAATGGTCTGCTTCAAATGCCTTGAACTGTTGTTGATCAAGGTTAGTTCCTCATCGAGTGATGGATACAGCGGCATTGAAGTCAAAGGGCAATCTTCAATGTGTAAACTAGAAAGACGAGGAAATTCCCTGTTTGATGTTCCTATAACTGTTCTGTCATCATTGTTATGATCATCAATCGGCCTTTCTCTCCACCAACTCTTCATGTCTGGACATTTCTTGAGACTAAGATACATAAGCGATGGGAAGAATGATTCTGATTCTCCTCGTCTTCCATTTGGGTCACTATCGTCCATGTACTCTAGCTCGATTAAGAACTCAATCCACAGCCGTTGAAGACGAGGCAATTGAGAAAACGAAGGTAGATGTTTCAATTTATGAAAATCTCGTATTGAAATATTAGTGAGATTTGTGAGTGTCGCGACCATCTTTCGGTTGGGCCCGAAATTGGGCTTCGACTTGAAAAAAATAGGTTAGAGTCGTCACCGATCATTTAAAAATAAATTTTAGGTTGATCGGACACCATCTTACCTGATCTGCGTTTTACCATAAATATATCGAGTTCAGGAGTCGGTTACAATCAAGGAAGGATTAGCACCCTTGTACTGACCTTTCGGTACCAATTAATTTTTCGGTTGTCTTAATTGCAAAAATTTGAAATTTAAATTATAAAACCCGATTCAAATTACTTACCTTTGATTGGTTAAAAAATCCCCTAAAAAGTCAAAAATGTTAGATAAGAAATAATAAATAAATATTAAAATAAATCAAATGGGAAAAAATAAATTAAAATTTTAAAAGTAATAAAATAAACGAAAAAGAAGAAACAAGCGAAAAGAAAAAAAATGTTAGTGAAAATAAAATAATAATTAAATAAAACTATTAAATCAAATCATGAATAAAATAGGGGTTAGATTGACAATAATCAAAGTTAAACATTAAAATTAAATTACAAAGAAATGGACTTTGTTACATGGTGCATCAAAGATGGAGGACCAAGAGAAGAATTTAACCACAATATTTGAAAGGCTATGGAGGATATTTACCCAAAATATCAATAAAACCAAAACTGACATTTCCATTCATTTGCGTGAGTGCTTCTGCCTTCTTTCTTCCTCAACTTGTGTGAGTTGCAGGAGTCATAAACAACATGTGGTCCTGGATCCAACAAGCAAGCCATCCACATCATCAACGTTGGTGATCAGTTCGCCCGACCACTCCGCTTACGAGCCATACGAAACAGTGGTTCCTTATCTCCACACATATAGCAAATTCGGGTCCTATGAAACCTTTAGCCATCATGATAGGGTCTCTTCGAACCCTTACCACGGTTGTTGAGGTCTCATCGTCGGGAGAAGAGAGTGGATTGGTCATTTTGGGATCGATGAGGTTTGGGAGATAAAAGGCTAGGGATTTTTTAAGAGTTTAAAGGAGCGTTTAGGGGCTTTGAGTTTTAAATTGAATGTTAGATAAGGAAAATGGAGGGTTCTAGTCTACATTATGGTTGTTTAGCTTGCTCTACAGCCGATGAACGAGATCGAATAGGTGTCTGTGAGGAGACAACCGCGTGAGTTGAGTTTGGGTTGAGAGAATAAAAAAAATGGGAAATGTTTCCTCCCTTTTCTGAACTTCCCTCGCATCTTCCATTTATGAACATCCCCCTCAAAGCCAACAACATTAATCCCAAGGGATTGAATAGAAAAAACGACAGCTTGAAGGACTTGTTTGCGTTGACCCATGATAGCTACGGAAGCTCCATGTTTCTCGAACTAAGTAGAGATCCCCCTAAAGTTTTGTTTGGAAAATAGAATATATAGAGATTGAGAGCCACCTCCAAAATGGCCCCGGATCAAGAAGCAAGTGTCCCACATCCATTAGTTGAGTGTGGAGTTGAAGCTAATATAGTGGGAGTAGTGGAGGTTGTTGGGTAGTGTTTGTGAGAAAAAGTCAATGAAAATGGTGTAGTGGGTTATGATTTTTTTTACTTTGGCTTTAATGGGTGTTGGATGCTGAGCCCGGATAAAAACTATGGTCTAAAGTTGCCCCTCTTTGCATATTTTTGTGTTAACAAGAATAGGGTAAAGATGAAAAAAGACAATAAGTTTTTGTCCGGTTCTCTTTGATTTGAGACTTGATACTGTTTGTTATGACACTAAGTTGATCCATTGGGCGTGATATCCTTCTTTGTGAAGTTGAAATCATGGATGACTCATTTGTTGTGAAGTTGAGTTGAACTCAAAGTATTGGGAAGTAGCTTCTGGATTGTCTTCTAGCCCAATATACTTTGTTGTGAAGCTAAAATTTGACTTGAATGAAACAGGTTTTTCATTGTTGTGTCACAGATGACTCCTTCGTCATGAATTTGGGTCAATCTTTTGGGTACGATATCATTCGTTGTGAAGTCAAAATCGTAGGTTAATCGAAAAGTGTCTCTTTGTTACCAATCTTGGTCGACCTTGGTCTTCTTCTTGATTTAAAGACCTGGGTGTGAAAATTTGACCGAAAAGTAGTTCTTTGTTGATGCAACGCAGTTGATACGCCCTCGACCTGAATGGAATCGAACTCGAAAGTCTTCATTGACAGATAGTCCTTCTTGCCTTGAGTTTTGTTGTACTAAGCTGAGAGATTACCCTAGATCTTCTTCTTGACTTAAAGACCTTGGTTTAAACTTCAACCAGAAAGTAGTTCCTCCCTTCTACCATGCGGTTGATATGTCATTGAGCTGAATGGAATCGAACTCGATAGTTTTTTGTTGACAGATAAC